CATGGAGCAGTAGACCTCTCCTGTCTTGCCCGCTGCTCCCCTCAGCAGTGTGCTTTGGTCCTTCTGCCTGTTCTGTTCCCGCTCTATCTCTGGTGAATCCTCTTACCCTCCCGTGCATCTGGCCTGTACCCTGGTTCTTGTATAATAAAATAAATCTTAAAAAAAAAAAGACTTAAAAAACATTCATGCAATTATCGTAAAATTTAATCAGGAGGAATGAGGCTGAATTATTGCGTCACTCTACTTGATGTCTGCTTGTTTTAGCCCAGAGACAATTTGCATCCCTGAAAGTGTAACTTGGTCTCCGAGATGACTTCTAGAGTTTTCCTGGAGCTGACCACACAGCTCCAGTGGGAAATATGTTTTAAGACCCCTGGGTGGAGCTGCCCAGCTGTGTATCTCCTTCGCTGATTTTTTTCTTCAGGGAAATTTAAGTAGAATGTGCTGTTTTTCTCACGGCTTCACTGACGGCTGAAGAGGAGAACATGAGATTCTTATATTTGGGGAATGGCTACTTCATTGATGAACTGCACTAGATCTTACCTGCTACGTCACCCCATTCACTGACTGGACCTACTGCCACTCTGCAAAGGACAGATAGCCCCTCTTTACTTACTAGTGAGTATTCAGTTCTTTACCTGAAGTGGCCCATGAAGCAATAGGAATGATGCGGGAAAGTGAAGGGTCAGGCGAAGAAAGCCATATTCCTTTAACATCTGCCTTCTAGAGTTGCAGTGAACATTAGTCAGAGAAAGACAGGACCTCTTCACTTTTTACTCAGGTCACAACCACTTATGTGTTTGCTTGTTATTTCCTGTCATGAGGCTGTAGCCAAGTGGACATAGCTCAGGACATCTGTTCTTTCATCCATGCACACATATCCCAGACGGCTGAGGTAGTAGATGACAGCAGTTAGTACCAAGCTGGTCATGGTGCAAGGTGGCAGGCTGGCTCTCCTCTGCCAAAGCCAGATGTCACTGCCAGCACAGCCGGTCCTCTCCTACAGCCACCAGCCACCGCTTGGCTGGGGAGACGGTTCACTGAGCCGGGAGTGTGGGGCCACGTGCCTTGTTCTTGGAACATCCTTGGAGTGTCCTCCCTGTCACCTTCCCAAAGCAGGGACCAGCTTGCTAGGAGACAAGCAGGGGGGTGCCTAAGGGGAACTTTGCAATTTTTCATTTTGCGAAATTATGCTAAAATTACTTCTCGTGGAGAGGAATTTCAGTACGGAAACAATAAAGGCTGGAAGAAAACAGCCTGAGGGAGAAGTAAAGACAAGAGCACAGTAGAAAGAAATGACAGGAAGGAAAGAGGGAGCAAGTTCTCTCATTTCAAACGGGAGTGGCAAGGAACAAATGTTCATTTGACTTCGGAAGATACTAGATAACTCTATCTACCTTCCAGGCAATGCTAGCCAGCATCAACACCGATGTCCTCTGCACCTGTCACAGCTTTGGGGCACATGTTTGAGATTCTCTTTGGCTGAGCTTGAGCAAAAGCAAGTTCCAGCTAATATTAGTTGTCTTTTCTGGGGGCTGTGGAGAGATTGGGAGAGCAGATCTACTCTCAGAGAGTTCTCTTTGTATCTCATCATTAAAAGCCCTTGATTCACACATTCATTAAAAGTGTTTATGCCAGTTCAAACCTGAAAATCTGCCCCCAGTGGCATGAGGCCAGAAGGTGATTCTCGTAGCTTTGGAAGGAGGGAAACTAGTCTGTGTCTGAGATTAACACTGATCCTGGGCGAGAGGGGGCATTCCTGCCCAAGAATAAGTGATTCCTTCGCTGAGGTCCAGTGAAACTCTGCCCAGTTCTTTACCCAAGTGGAAAATGAGTGTGTCTAATTTACCTGCCAAATGAGAAAAACGGGAGCTCAAAGCAGAAAGACAGATTACCCCAAATTGTTGGGAGAGATGGTAGCTGCCCCAGAGAGCTGAGTTCTGCAGCCCTGTGTGGTTTTAGTTTCCCGAACCAACTACAATTCTAAGTCCCAATGTGGTCCAGCTCCCTGCCAAGGAACGAATCAGGCTTAACATTTTAGTTCCACACAGAGGCACTTTGAGTGGAAACACCAGCCAGAACAGATCCCATTTCCTTCCAGACTTGATAACTTTGTTTTATAAATTGAACACAGGGACATCGCATGGGTTAATTACACACCTTTAGAAATCCTGGAGTGGCGTTTATCTTTTAAAAATATTTGCACAACTTAGCTTTCTGTGGCACCACTCTATGTGGGTGTGGGTGTTTTAATAGCTTACAGCATTTAACATTTTCTCTCCAAACTTTGAACATCTCCAAGAGTGCAGAGGGAGGTGAGATTTATTAGGCCCGGTGGGAAGGCTGAGGTGCAGGAGGCCAGGCATAGCAGGGCTCACCCCACACCAGGCCTTGGGAGGGGAAGACAAAAACGGCTGCCTCAGGGGCCTCCCTGGTGGTGCAGCGGGTTGAGCACCGTGTTGTGAAGCTGTCAGGAGTCTCTGCAGCGCGGGTTCGATTCCCGGCCGGCCAGGGCGATTCCCACAAGGCATGGCAGACCTCTCCTGTTGCTCCTGCTGCTCCCCTCAGCAGTGCTTTCATTATGTCTGCCTGTTCTGCTCCCCACTCTGTCTCTGGTGAATCCTCTTACCCTCACACCTTTGGCCTGTACCCCAGCTTCTGTATAAATAAAAAATAAATCTTAAAAACAAAACAGACGCCTCAGTCCACTGCCCCTCCCTGGCAGTCCAGCAGAAATTCGATGGGGACTACATCTGAGGGGGGGGTGGTGGTGGGAAGCAAACATATATATCAATAAAAAAGAAAATTAAAAAAAAAAAAAGACTGCTGGTCCTCACTTTACACTAGCTCCTTACAAGAAACTTTTTTTTAAAGATTTATTTATGCATACAAGAACTGGGGTGTAGGCCAGGGATGCAGGGGCTGAAAGGATTCACCAGAGACAGAGTGGGGAACAGAACAGGCAGATCTACTGAAATACACTGCTGAAGGGAGCAGCAGGTGAGAGAGGAGAGGTCTGCCTCGCCATGTGGGTTGCTCAGGGGATAGAACTTGAGCTGCAGTGGCTGCGGACAGCTTGATAGGGCTGTCTTTAACTCATGCACCACCAGGAAAAGCTTCTGCTGCTTTCCTTCGTTCACCCCTAGGGGGGCCATAGGGGAGAATGCTTCCCTTCCCTGCTCCAGATTTCTCTTTAAAAAATGTGGCCAGACTACATACTGCTTAGCATCCTGGGACTCCACCTCTGAGCACAGGTCTCCACTACTGGCCCCTGGGGGACGAGAGAACTCGGAGGTGGAAGAAGGGAGAGGAATGCCTGGGAGAGTGGAGATTGTGAAAAGGGTCGAGATGAGGGTGTGCTAAGCCTTTCTACCTCACAGCCTGGAGGGTTCTGGGCGAGGGTTCACTGCTTAGCTGTCAGGTTCTCTTAACCCATTGTGGGGAGTGGTTCCTGTCAAACAGACACTTTTATTATCAGATGAGTGATGGGAGGAAGGTGAAGAAAGATAGGAGAATCTGAGGCAATCTGCGGTCACATCATCAACATTTTAATAAAAAATGTCCTTAAAGGGACAGAATTCCATTCTCAGAGACTTGTGAAGGTGTAGCAGCCAGTCAGCTGTGTGTGTGTACACGTGTGTGCCCATGCAAGTGCATGTGTGTTCAGAAAATATTTTCCCAAACCGAAATAAGATAGGTTCATTGCAAAAGATTTGGAAAATATAGAAGTGTGAGCAGAAGAGGTTAAAATTCATTTATTTCACCACCTAATTTGATCAACCTTTTGGTGAATAGTGATCATTCTTTCTTTATTCTTTTTTGGACACTAAGTTCCAAGAACCCAGGAATCCACTCGCTTCTGGGACCCGGGGGGCCGGAGAGTGCCGAGTCCACGAGATACATAGACTGGTTGGTGGAATGAGGAGATAACTAGAAGGCAGAATTTGAATTGAAATAGCTTGTCGTGATGCGGCAGCAGATGGCGGTGAGAGAGCCTGTGTGGACGTGCTGACTTGGATCCTGGCTGTCTCTGCCGACGTACTGTTGTCTCTCCTTGAATCAGTCACTTCACCTCAGTTTCTTTTTCGGTGAAATATTCATCCTAGTTAACATTGCTGGAGGCTTCCTACCTGCCAGGCAGTGTTGTGAGCTCTCTAGGTGTATTTCTCACTATAGCTCTATGAGATTGGTTCCTCCTAGCCCCACTTTCTGCGCTAGGAAACTAAGCTACAGAGAGGTTGATTTGCGGAAAGTCGCGCAGTGTGTAAGTGGAGAGCTGCACCTGATCTCAGGCAGCTGTGCTCCATCTGTGGGACAGCCTTGGCAGGCTGGGGGCCTGGGGGGCTTCAGGGCCCTCTTGGAGGACTCCTGTGCAGTATGGTACAGAGGGACAGAGAAATGGGGCAGGGAGGTGACGGTGATGATTATGGCTTCAGCTCAGCACAAGAAACTGCATGTGGAGCAAGGTCCAAAGGAACGTGGCATAGGGAATCGGAGAGCAAAGTTCTGCCCTAGAGAATTTCCTTCGGGGCGTGTGGGGGCCACATGTGTATTAACTGAATGCAAAGAGCAGGGGCTATCTGATCCGCACCCCGTGGCTCAGAGGCAGGGTGCCAAAAGGTCCCTGTGTGTCCCCGTCCGCTTTCAGCACCTCATCTGATGTCCACCGCAGGGCCCGGCACCTGGGTCAGACAGGGAAGTGTGAGAAACAAATCTGATAATTCCTGACCGTGAGTAGCAGCTGATGCATTTTGTGGGGCAGGGGTAGAGGCCAGATATCTCCTTCGATGCGGGATTAGTTCGGTTTCCAATAGCAGGCATGCTCCCTTTTCCTCCTGGTCTCCCTCTGGAGATGAGAGTTGAGGCAGATAACTTGTATTTTGCCTCGTGTCCATGGCAACTACGGCTCCTTTTTGGTGAGGAGGAATGGACTTCGGTAAACAGATCTATTTGTGTGACTCTTATTACTCATTGGAAGCAGTGTCACTCCTTTTTCCACTGCGGTCTGAGTCAGAGGGAGCCTACAACAGGCTTCTTTGAATTGATGGCTCACTCCTGGCCCTTTTGACTGACTGCCAACCGAGCAGGGCGTAGCTTACCAACATTTTTTTTTTTTTTTAAAGCCAGACTGATTCATAGAAACTCCTTTAAAACACAGTGCAAAGAATCCGCCCATCCCACACCCCGGCACACCAGCTCAGGAAACTTATAACCTCGGGAGGCAGGTCCCTCCCTCACTGCGGTCACATACCTCCACCAGAGCGGACAGCAGCCGCCAGCTCCTGCCACTCGGTCTCCGGGCCCCTCAGGTAGGTCAGCTCAGACGGTGGAGCAGTTCAGCCAACTTTCTTGCCTGCCTACCGCTTCTCCTTCTTCTAACTTCACCTCAGTTTTGCTTTTGCTTTTTTTTCTGCATGGTTTTTCAAGAATGGAGTTCTTGAAACTTTGGGGAAAAGTAGAGACTGAGACAAGTTTTTCCAAAAGCTTCCGAAAAGCATATGTGGATGGGGCTGGAGTGGGCAGCCGGGGCATCAGCAGGTCTGGGCTGTAGTTATGTCTTGCAATAACTCCATTCTTGCTGTGAATATGTGGACTGTGCTGGACTTTGGAACCTATGGAGGAAACGCTACATACCTTTGAAATGACACACTGCTCTCACCAGATGTTTTCTATGCTCCGTTTTGATTCAGATGGCCGCGGGAAGGGCTTGTGTCTTTGCTTGTTGGCTGTTTTCTGGTCTTTGCGGGGAGGTGGTGATGGAGACATACCTGCTTTTCAGTCTATTTTTACCATCAGCTGTTACAGGCTCTGCATGTTCATTCACTTCTGTTTAAATCGAAGTGGTTTTTCTCCCCATGGGCTAGGAGGAGAGGGGGTTGGTTTGTTTAAAGAAAACCGTTAGAGAGACAGGGAGAGAGTGAGAGACAGAAGCGTGGGGGGCAGTGCTTCAGAGGAAACTTGGGAGGGGTTCATTTGCAAACTGCTCCTGCAGGAGGAGAGGTGGGTTTGGAGGAGAGGGTGGAAGAGGGGTATTTCATCTGCTCCTCCAGAAAGTGACTTTGAGCTTCCACCCCGGACACAGCTGAATTGTAGTGTTGAGTGAAAAGTTGGTATATCAGCGATGATACAGATGTTTTTTTATGTGGATGTGGAGGAAAGAGGGATTGTTTCTGCATGGAAAGTGGGGATCGTTCTGAAACAGGCATCTTCTGTTTTCTAAACTGTGGTTGAACAAATGCTGAGGACTTAGGACTTAGGGACAAATGACGAGGGGCATTTGGAGAAAGGAGGAAGAGTGATCTTGATTTGCTTTGTTTTCAGGTTAACATTTTGGCTGAGGTGTGGCCCATTTCAACATAGATAGTGTGTATTTTTCCCTTCACAAAACAAGATGAGGAAAATGACAGGATTCAACTTGTCTGGTGAAATTAGGCTTTTCCTTCAGAAATGCTGTTGGAAGAGATTTAAATGCAATCAGCGTGTGTGCTTTGTATGGGCAACGCTCCCAGTAAAACTGCCCTCAAGGGGATGATTAAGTAAATGCAAAGGCACCTTTTTAAGATGCAAGGAACTCCTACCTTTGCTTAAAATGTTTATTATTTCAAGATTACATGCATGTGGATTAGGGAAGCCATTATTAAGTCGATGGCGGTGGCATTCTATGAAGCTAGTACAAATCTTTTAGTTCTGTGCGAGTTAAAACTAATAAGCACAATTTAACCAGCCAGTAAATTGAAAATCCTCACACTTCTGGGGGCCCTCAGGATTTGTGTTGTTTGTGTAGCATTTCACGTTATGCTGTGGTTTTATATTGAGAAAATATACTGCCTGTTATCTGGTAGCTTTTGAGGGCAATTTGAAAATGCTGTTCTGATTTCTGCTTTTCATTCTTCCTCTAAGGAGTGGGAGAGTTCCTGAGCTGGAAGTTGCTCTGGATTTCAGAGGGTAATCTTTGACAAGACTGGGCTGGGAAGGTTATATTTTCCCTCTGTTGCCTCCCATCCTCATAAGCTGATGGTCTCCACCCTAGACTCTGAAGAATGGGGCGGGGGCGGAGAACTGTCTGAAGAGCTACAGGGCATTCAGTCTGGCGTCCTGCTCAGGAGGCCCCCCCAGATTTTGCATTCTTTGTGGCCACCAAGCTGTCCTGGGAGCTGGCAGCAGGCCATCGAGGACCAGCCCAGAGCAGATCACATCCTAGAACAGAGGCTGGCTTCCTCCCAGGAGTTAGGGGCAGATCTCTGAGGAAAGGAAAGACATCCCTTCTACACTGCTGAAAAGGCTTATTGCGGTTTTCCCAATTTGTCCTGTTTCCTTCCGGATACCAGTGCTGGCCCATCCCATTACCAGGGGGATGCCCAGACTCTAGTGTCTAGTGAGGGGGCTCCAGAGAGACCACCAGGGGGTGAAGACCCTCTTGGCTGGTCCGGGTGGCTCTGGGAGTTTCTGTTCATGATGGACCCGCTGGCACCAATGGAGAGGAAGCAGTCAGAGGCCTAGAAAAGTTCACAGATGCAGCAGAATGCTTTTTCATTAGACTGCGCAGAGCCTGAGGGGTACATAGCTGGAAAATGGCCTCCCCAAAGGACACAAGGAGAATTTAGTTATGTGCCATCCTGGAATTGGTTCATCGAGCTTTCAGCTTGAGAGGGATCTTAGAGAGCAATGTGTTCATTCTTCTTCTCTGTGCAAACATCTTATTTTTACCTCACCTCAGGCAGATGGATGGCCATTTTACATTTCCTTAACATGTCCAGTGAGGGGGCTCAGTACCTTAGAACATACCTCCCTGCTCACCCCCTTTTGCTAGACAGCAATACTTATTAGTATTGCTGGTAGATTTATTCTTAAGTTAGTATCACTAATAGATTTATTCTCAAATCCAGCCATTTTGGCTTCCCTATAACTTCTACCCTTTGTCCCTGGCTCTGTGGTCCTGAAACAACCTCAAAAAGATCAATTTCATTTTATTGCATTTGTTCTGCCCAATGCTCCTTATCCTCCAAACATTTAACCTCTGTTTGCTACGTAATTGATAGAACTTGGTGCAACTGCATCATATTATTATTTTTAAAAATAATTGTATCATCATTATTATTTTTTTGCCTAAGACTCAGAAAGAATAGGGGGCATTTTGGAAGCTTTGGGAGACGATGCACTCAACCATAACTTGCATGGTCTGATTCTGTAGTGTTTCATTTTCTAAACATTTGACTCTAGTTCCTTCTTTCATTGACCACATGCACATGCTCACCTGCCTGACATGAAAGCAAACAGACATTTGAGACCTAACACAAAAGACACACTCAGAGGGACACACCCATGGTGGCTACTCCCAGATCATGGTTAAATCAATTGATGCCAGAAACACAGATGTCCAGGCCCTGTGGGGCTGCCCCATATCTTGGTCCATAGTTCAAGAAGCCCGTGCCTTTATGTGTTTACCACCTGTCATGGCAACCACACAAGCAGGTTGTCAATCCAGTGCACCCTCCATCTAATTGCTGGTTGGCAAGCTGGCTATCAGTCCTTCATAATCCTTCGCCAGTGGTAGAACTGGAATTCTCTGACCATTTTCCAATACTTTCTGACTTAACTTTTCCAATTCACTCAGATCAGATAAGCTTGACTTTCTATTCAGTCATTCAGGGATCCCAAATATGGTTCCAGTTAGAAGTTTACTTGGGTTCCCAAAACCTCACCCCCCAAAAAAACACATACCCCAAGCCTAGTAAATTGAAAATCCTCACACTTTTGGGATTCCTGGGGCAGGTGGAAGATGGTGAGAAGGGACACTGAGGGATGGGGTCTTCACTTTGTGATCACAGGAAAGTTACTTGTAAAGGAGCTCAAATGGATGTTCCCTAAGATTCCTGTGGCTTTGACATTGTTGTTCTAAGTGCTACCATCTCCAGTGTGAGAAATCCCAAGGGCACAGGGAACAGCTAGTTTAACCCACAGTGAAATGAGGCTGGGTGCTACCGGAGCGGACATTTTGCGAAGACTCAGGGACTCAGGCGGCCTCCTCCGTTTTATCAACTCAGAGATCCCTTAGGGCTGGTATTTCAGAGCCTTCTCGTCAGAGAGCATTTACCCAGTTCCTAGAAGGAAAGGAAGAGGTTGGATTAATTCAATGAAAAGGATGTCAGCTCAGAGGGGCAGAGGCAGGCCTTCTAAGGTTGTTAAGACACTGACCACAGCCAGGGACTTACCAGGAACCAGCCCTGGCTCAGAGGGAAACTGAGCTGATCCTGGGAAAGAAACTCCACCCTGTACCCCAGGAGAGAGACAGACCTGGCAGCGTGAGGGTGTGGCTGAAAAGGCGTGGATGAACACACTGAAAGACTCCAAAGGGAAGGGGTGTGTGTCTGGATGTTTCCTGAGGCCTGTGTCTTGGGGGTCAGCCAAGGGGGCAATGGAAAGGTTTCGAAGAAGGAGGAATTATCTGGAAAGCAGAAGACAAGAAGATGGAAAAAGAGCAAGGGAGAAGTGTGAGGAGGTTGAGTCCTTAGAGTCAAACATCCTCTTCTTTGTCACTCCCCACCCCCCTCGCCCAAGAATCTTTTGTTGCTCTGGCAACAGACATCTGTCAGTCATGGGCCCTTGGTGTCATTTGAGTTTCCATGGAATGCTTGTGCCTACAGGGTGGTGATCTCCCCCAAGCCTCCCCCTTTCTAGAAGCATCTGCTCCAAGCCAAATGAAGTCCCAGATATTTCAACTTCTTGTTTCAAATAATCAAAAACCCCTCCCCAGGGGGAGCTGGGCTTACTGTCCTGAAACAGTGAGTTTGGCTGTTTCAGAGAAAGGTGCTGAAGCCCAGAGCAGGTGCTTCTTTCTTTTTTAGAGTGACAACCTGCTTCGCTGGAGAAGGAGCTGGTGCTGGGGTGGGGCCCAGGGGCCATGCAGGGGTTTGATTTGGGCCTGTGGTGGCTAAGTGAGGCAGCTGCTGCTGCTGGGTCTTCCTAGCAACATGGCCAGAAGAAGCAGTGGCCTTCAAAAGAGCCTTTCTTTGGTCAGTGTGCTGCTTTGAGGGACTGTGCTGACCCCCACTAACAAGCAGGTGATGGATGAATAGTCAAGGGGAGTTATGTTAGAAGTTCTAGAACTACTGGCAAATCCTAAGACAGATGTGGGATAGAAAATCATGCCGAGGAGGCAGAGACCTGGCCTGGAGAGGCCTGGGTTGGGGGTGGGCTTCTGTGCTGACTGCTCTTCTCTGGGTGCTCGTATCTCCTCCTTCCTGGGATTGGACTGGACGACCTCTAGAGAATCAATTGCCCTCCAAAGGAAAAGGGGAACCCATAGCCC